GTGCCATTGCTTAACAAGGATCAGTCAGAAAGTAATACCTCTAATTTTTTACTCAGCCAAATATTATTGAAAAAATATTAAGCTTACATAGAAGATATGTACATCATCGTTGAACACGCAACTGTTTTTAAACACAATGTCCTTCTCCGTCAAAGGCCTTTTTCCACTGGCAAACAAAGCTATATATTCCAAGGTTGTATGAGGATTAGCAAAAATAACATCTCGTACTTTTTGTTTCCCCAGCAAGCCGTTGATATGGAGGGTGCTCCTGTTGCTGACTTCTTTCTTAAAGTCAGAGGTCTATGTCAAGACGGTGAAGAAACATGCAAAACACATGTCCAAACAAAAACCTACACACCAGCTTGTGCACCACAGAGGAAATCTCATCATTCGGATGGATGGTGCTGCCCCTTCTTCCCTACAGCCCAGAGAATGAAGGACAGATTTTTAAGGGTGGCATGTTTAGGATGACAGTGAAGCATTGCTGGTTTTGTGACAGTGCCTGCACAAGAAAAACGTCAGGATACATGCCCTTGTTCTCCAGTAGAAGAGGCCTCTGGCAAGGAGGGACTACACTAGAAAACAGCTGTGGGTTCAGCAATGCTGTACACAGTTTCTGTGCAAGTTTAATATTTTTTCAATAATATTTGGCTGAGAAAAAAAATAGGGTCTATGTCTTTCTGACAGACCCTCATATACAAGTTGGGCTTTCAGGCTCAGTTGCATATATTCAGGCATTCTGTATTCTTCCAATACTCTCCAATCTGGACCGTGCTTTATGTAATCCAACAGCTAAATTACACAAACGAGTAAATCTGGTTCACTGAACCCTATTAATCTGTTTGTACAGTTTCTCTGTGGCATACCTACTGATTTATATAACTCCCATCTTAAGTCATGCTCTTCTACAGCCCACACCTGCTTAATTGGTCAGGTTTCTCTCTACCTTCTGTTCAGGGTCTCCTGCCATGACCCCCGTATATAGAAGCCTCATCTATTCTCATCACAATCTTTCTGCTGACTTAGTCTACCAATATGCAAAGTACTTTCAATAGAGATAAGAAGTATTAATCACAAACCACCTTAGTAAGACCTCACCTGGAAAACTCTGTACAATTTTGGTAACCCATGTTATCAAAAGATTAATTTGGACTGGAATTGGTTCAGAGGAGACTACTAAGATAATCAGCGGAAAGAAAGGAGAGGACACTATGAGAGTAGACAGGAAATGGAGGCACACATGGAGACCTTCTAGCATTTGGTAATACAATAAAGGGCACCATGGAAAGATGGGGAAGTGGGGTACCTTGGTAGGGGAAAGGTGACTGAGTGGCACTGAGCCAGCACTGGGGAAGAACTAAGAGGTAAAGATATGGAGGGTGCAGAGACTGAAAAGGACATTCTTGGCAATGGTAGGAAGGGAATATGAAGTAGCACATATCTACACTCCCCACCTCCAGACACAGGGGGCACTGGCATGGGTGGATGGAGACATGAATACATATAGAGCACCTGACATAATGAGGAAAGAGAAAATAGGGACCCAAAAAGGCCCTGGCACAGGAGTAGGGAGGCTGCAGCGAGTCCCTGAGCCACTGGGAAAGAAGGTGGTGCTCTGGGAGGTGTTGGGGGTAGAGGGGATAGAACTGTGCACAACACACTGTGCCTAGAGAGACAGTAAAGGGCACAGCCCTCTATTGGTCCAGGCAGTATTCCTATTAGGAAGTCAGGAGTCAGATAAAATCAGAGATAATCTACAGCTCACTGAAGATCAAACAATGATAGAAGTAGATGTAAATTAAATTCCACATTAAGGGCCACCTCAAGCATGTGTCAAGTAGAGAGGTATTAAAGTGGATTTAGGAGAAGGCTAAATGTCAATTAGCAAGCACAACTATGTTTAGTTTTGGCAGGACACAGCCTATCCACTCTAAACCTTCACAATGGAAAGTACGAAGTTATGGGGAAATATTTGTGCTACCTCATACTGGTGTTCTAAGTAACAAGTGAGGTAAAAAACAGAAAGACCACAATGTCTCCCTGTCACCTCCAGGTATTTGCCAGTTACTTGTAACCACTGCACTACTTTAAAACTGAAGAGCAATTACAGACCTACAGCACACTTCACAGCAGATCAGTAGAGAGGCAAAGTAAAGATCTAGTACTGCAAACAGCTCCATGGGAAGAACTACTGCACCTGGGGGGAACCTGACTGATCTCACCAAGGTTCCTCACGGCCAAAAAGGATCGCCTGTCTGGTACTGGGGCATGACTGAGGCATTATTCATGCACAGATACACCTATGACTCATTATTGTATGTGTACACCCACACAGACTGTGCATCATATTGATCATGAGTAGTCCACATTCCTCCTTACAAAGGAAACAGCCTTTTGTCTTCCTCAGACACTTACTTATGGGAAAACCATGCCAGCTGTAAAGGGACAACTTCTCATACTTATATAAGAAGTCTAGAATACTTATTCCAATACTTTTAAAGACTTTCTTACAGTTTTGCTTAAAGCAGACACACATTCAGTGTACAGTCATTCATTTCTAGCAATGGAAAATTTCCAATGCTAGAAATAATGGCAGGAGAGGGAGCAGTATAGATGTTCAGCCTGAAACCACCCCCTTTCTGCTGCCCCTTGCACCTTCCAGAGTGATCCTAGCCAGAGGAGAGTGTGGGGAGCAGCAGCTGCTCCAGTCTTCCTGTTTCCACAGGGACTATAGCAGTCTGGCAAAGGCCCACCCATGCCTCACACTGGGGAACCCAATATGAGGTGGTGGAGAGCAGCGAGCCGCTGCTACACCTCTCCTCTATCGGTCTAAATGACCGTTCATCCTGTCGCCCTCTCCGCACACCCTCTGCAGACCTAACACCAGTTTCTGGAAAGCATGAAAGCCTTTCTCTGCTACTAAACTCCTCCTGAGTGGTGAAGTATACAAGCATTCATTCTCCCAGGAGAAAACTCCCCCAGGAGTGACTTCTACCAGGTGGAAGTTGGATTATTTTGCTCTTAAGACAGCCATTTTTATTCTGAGAGAAACAGTCTTTATGCCCATACACCCGTGGTTTCTTCCAGGAAAGCTACAATTCTCCCAGGAGAAACATAACACATGTAAATGGGCACAAGCCAACCCATAAAGCTTCATTTTTCCCTTAAAATGAATGTATACATGAAGGTTATACCAGTACAACTACATCTCCATATAGACTTTAAGCTATTTTAATAAGACTCACATAGGTAGCTAAAACTTCAGTCACACAAATGTTTTCCACCACTGAAGTTAAAAAGAGAATAGTACATTTTGTTCAAAAAGAGCGACAGAAAGATGACATCATCATGCATCCTCCTTATGAAAACTGAACCCTCCATTATCAGAAGAAAACCTCCCACAAACCTGTATGGATTTGGCAATTAATCTCAAAACTATTTAAAGAACTAACACTTTGTGCTGTTACCATAGCAATACAGTAGGTAGACCTATCAGAAAGCCATGAATATTTTGCTCAAAGAAATTTCAGCACAATTAAGATAAAATTTGACAAGGTCTACAATTAAATTAAAAGAGCCCAAACACACATTATAAAAGCTGAAAACGTAAATAAAAAAAAACACATTTCATTTTTTTTTAAAAATAACACATTGGTATGAATAGTAAACACCTGGGATAATTAAAACTGGACCACAGTATTTTTCACTTTTCACTGTTTATATGCTGAGTCCCTGGCACAGAAGAAAAGCTCTATCCAGACGAGTCCCAGAATGTAAGTGGAGCACATTTTAGTATCAGGTACTCCACTTACTCTTCCACAAAAGCTACTTTGTTCTGCTGTATCCTTCTCCTGTCCCAAGACTGTGCTGTGCTGTGCTGAACCAAAACATGGACAGGCTTGGATTTAACACAGGAAACTGTTTTCCCCCAAGCTCTAATCAGCTCTTTTTAACTTTCTTTAATGGAAACAACTTTATTTGCAGGAGATAAATGGAGGGGGAAGAACAGTGCACAAAGCCTAAGGTGACCTACAAAATGGTAACGAGGGGTGGGCCCTTCCATTGTCTTTTTATTATTTATACAATAAATTTAGGTGAACGCTCTCATTTTTTAAAGTTGACCTTTAGGACTCACTTTTTTCATTTAAAATGGAGGTCATGTAAAAGTAGGAAAACTGGATAATGACAGGACAAATTAGTGAAATTATGGCATTACAGGAAACAGTCATTCGAAAGATTTAGATTGTTATTGTAAAATGGCTACTTGATGTCTCAGTTTCCATTATGAATAAGGATAGCCCGTCATGACTTTTTCTTCAGTCTTTACTCAAATGATTACTTTTCCCATATTACCATGGCAGCTAGCCAATAGTAAGAAGTATGTCACTCTTAAAATATTGGGTTTTGGATTAGCCAACTAGCTTTCCTAATGCTCTTCACTAAAAATAGCAAAATAAAAATAAGTTAACCCCTCCCCATTCCTTAAATATACCTTTAGGTTTGATTTCAATGGCAAATACAGTTTGTCTGGTTTTTTTTAAAACCCATGTCAATATCTTTATATGACTACAGAAAGATTTTGGAAAGAAAAATTAACCCAGAAAGGCCATTTTGATAGAAATTAATTGTTCACATGACAATCAATTAAAGAATATTTCATGACAGCGAAATATTTTATATTTTTAACTAAAAGAAGAATGTAGTTTCAACAAGAGGAGACATTATAAAACTGTGCATGGAGATATCCATATATTAAAATTCAGAAAGGTAAGCTTTCAATCAGTTTTAGTACAGCAGTTGTTTTATAGTTCACAGCCGACTTTGCTACAAACAGAAAGCACTGGTCCTTCAGATCTTATTTTTAAAATAAAAATAAAAAAGAATACATATAAGCTTCTATACGGGATCTTGGAATTAGTGTCATAAGAGTACACGCAGATGAAGCATGCTTCAGTATTCTTGGTATTTTCAGAATTTACTGAAATAAGAACTGCACTTACCTTTTTAATAGTTTTTGTCTGCACCAAAGCAAGTTCTCTGTTTTCATCTGCTACATACAGGGAAAGTTTCACATATGGGTCACTGCAAAAGAAGAAGTCACATTGAATAAATAGGTTTATAATTACACTGCCAACTATAACAAACAAATTCAGCATAATCTATACACTTAACCTGGTTTACAAAAAATAATAGCATTAAATATTCCTAGTAAACAAATATTTACCAAAAGGCAAAATATCTGTATTATGCCTATTAAACCATTAATACTTTCTGTCGGTTTATGCCTGATTAAAGACTGATCCTAGCCTAAAAGGTGAGTGGAAGTGGCAGCTTTTGTGCATAACAAGGAAAGAGCACCTTTTCTTGAATACAAGCTGTAATTGTAGATCAGCTATTTATTCCAACTGAAAAAAAATCAATGTCCCTTTAGCTGCTGCACTCGAATGACAAAACAGAACAGAAGCAAAAAAACAAGTTTGAGTACTGTGCTTACAATTTGCAGAACTTCATCTGATTTCCTAGTGCTGCACCACTTCCACTGAACTGAAATAAATGTTTCGCTAAAAGAGAGTCAGGAAGTCCAGCTGCAACAAGAAGCTACCAAAACTCTAACCCCTCGAAAACAGGGGGCGAAAACAGTCATCGTACACAGCAGGGGCCAATGAGGATAGAGACAGAAATTATCTTCATTGGCCAAGTAGCCATCATTTTAAGAAACTGTAAGGTATCTCCTAAAAATCAGTACAGGCACCGGGGAAGGAGTCAAATTAAAACCACAGTGGGTAGTTCACTCCTATTTTTTGATGCGCCGGTCCAGGCTGACATTCCCTGAGCCTATCAGGCCATCTTATTACCCGACCTGATTTAGAGCCATGACATGAGGCAACAGCTCAGCTTTATAAAAATGCTTGCCTCTCCCTGGGAATCTAATCCCTTTTTCTCATGAAATGGAGCAGATATGAAATTTCCGGGGGGGAGGGGGCATTGCCCCAACTCATAACCCTCTGTCATGTCAGACAGCAGCCAGCTTCTTCTCTCAATGGAGATAAAATCTAATAGGAGAAGCCAAGCACCAAAAGGTCACAAAGTAGTTTTCATACATTTTTTTTCCTTCTCTTGAAAACAAGAAAGAGGCAGGTAGGTTACCAGGGCCCTTTTTTGTTTTGCTCCCTGCCTTGCCTACAGGTAGGAACCTTTTTGTAAAGGTAAGTAGTCCAAGGATAATATACAAAGTTTCCCTACCCAAACTGGAAGGTTTTCTAAATAAGACCATTGAGCATGCAATAGGACTCCACCCTAATTACTGTGTCAGAATGATCTACCTCTTCAAAAACGCAATGCACACCTTGTAGTTCACAACTGAGAGTGACTAGAGTACTGTGAAGAGGCCTTGTGCTCAAATTTGTGCAACCCACACTGAACTCACAATGCCATAGTGCACATTAGGGTATGAACTGCACAGGTGAAAGAAGCTGATCACTCTGCTCCAGCTAAAGCAGTAACGCACCCTACTGCTATACAGAAGGGAAACAGGATACAATCTACACACTCCAAGCCAGAGTATAGGACTAGAGTAGTCAACTCCACCTGAAGAGGAAGGAAACAAACATACGACAAGGTACTTCTGTACCAAACTCCTCCTGTGCCTCCCTTCCAAACATCGGTATAGGTGACGTGGTGCAATTTGGTTTGGTTAAAAGAAAAGTGCAAAAGACAGATCCAGATAACCATCCCTTTATTTAGAAAGATTCAAAGATTGTCATAATGCAGTCCCACTACTTTCCAAAAATTTAACTTGAAATACAAATTAAGCAAGTTAGCTGATATATCACGAGGTATTATCAGCAAATGAACACCACTGTTTGACAACAAAATACCCCAGCAGAGTGAAGGGAAAAAAAATTCCCCGTTGCACGGGCTACTACAGGAGACCCTTGCCATTCGCAGGGGGATACGTTCTCGTGATCCCCGCAAATGGCAAAATCCGCCAATTAAAGTACTGTGTTCATGAACGCCATTTGCGTTCATCATCGCAGTGCCCCTGGCAGCTGCGGGGGGTGGGAGGACATGGCTGCTCTGGCGAAGGTGGGAGCCCGGCAGTGGGAGTACAATGGTGGTGGGAGTGCAGCGGCGGGAGCGTGGTGGCGGCAGCAGGAGCCCAGCAGCAGCAAGCGCAGAGCTCCCAAGGAGCTCCTGTAAGTATATTTAAGATGCAGATTCAGCATTCACAAATATTTGAAACCATGAAATGAATGCTGAACCCACGAACAGCGAGGGTTTCCTGTATATGAATGTATGAGCTACTTAAAATGCAAATATATACAGCAGTAAGCACTAAAGCCAAGGAAAATAATAGCATCATATCCAAAAAGATACAATTCAATGGAACCCATAGATTGTTTAATGCAAGGGTGCCCAACTCGTCCAGCCTTGTGGGCTGGATGACCCACCTCCAGTGATGGGACAATGACTTGTCAGAGTGACTGCCAGAAATGCTGCATTGGCACCACTCTGGAACTCCGCCACCACTTGCTGCCTCTTTTCCCCTAACACCAACTTCAATCACCAATAGTGACCAAAGACCCCAAATTCGGCAGTGGGCGAGGGAATAGAAGCGTGGTGGTAAAGAGCAGTAGCCAGTGGGCTGCAATTTAGCTCCTCGCAGCTTATGCGTCACCAGTTGGATCACCCTAACATAATGCATACTTGGCGCACCTACACGTCCATTAATGCGCCATTATTACGGTGCCTTAAGTTTAGTACCTGTAACGACAGGTGCTAAACTTAATGCACTGTAATCAGCGCTACTGCGCTTTAGTGCAAATGAATGGTCTTTTGTGATGTTTATGTGCAGCTGACTAAATCTACTGTGCATTAGCACAGGTTTTGCCTGCCATGACAATGTGCAGTAAAATTAGTCTACTGTACTCAGTGTCTCATGTTCCCTAGTATTTGCTAACACAATAGCATAATGCAAGAGGCAGAATAAACCAGATATTCCCTGAAACCTCAGGTTGTTGTGCTAGACTTAGTCAAATACTGTATGGGAAGCACAGGTCATAAAACATTTTTCAACTTCTCTAAATGCCCCTCCATTTTCCTTTCCACAAGTCCTAAAAATAATCTACACAATGCCTTGTTTTTATTGTCTGACACCTCTCAGCACTGACTGACTTTCTCCAAATCGCACTGCTGAATCAGTAATGGGCAAACCATGGAGTGACAAGGCCAAGTCTGATCTCGCTCATGACTTTTATAAAATCACCCAGGACATAAAAGCAGAACCAATAACCCAGTCTTGCTGCAGAACAGCAACAAAAATGACTTTGAGAGTACTGCAACCCCCGGTTGAGAAGGCTGCCCCTCTCTGGCATTACGAGCATAAGTGAAGGCTTTGTTTAGTAGAAGGTTGACAGTCTGTCATATTCAAGGCAGCCTGTCATCTTCAAGAGTGACCTTTTTTTAAAGAGTTGCTCTCTCTTCTGTCACTTTCCCTTCCTTTCCCCTTGCACAGAGCTCAGATGTGCTTCAGAAATGAGCAGTTCAGGAACTCCCATACAATGCAGCAAGTGAGGCTTCTAGTCAGAAGACAAGAAAAGGAGGAAAAGCACCAGTCCTGCAACAGGGATGGACGCACCATAGTTGGCAAATTCATTTACATGTTTTATAAAAGGCAAATGGACAGAACCATGTTTGCTAGCACTTTGCATCAGCCTTAACAGATGAGTAACAATTGCTTGTTACCTGCAACAGAGAAGAGTGCAAGATAATGAGGGCAAGCAGTGACAGCCTAGAGCCCATGCCTGATGTTTCTATAATTTTTTAAAAATATTATTATATTATTCCAAATATTTACCAACCCCCTTTCCCTCACTGTCAATTGTTTCAAGTTTAAAATAATCATTTTGTAACTATGACTACATCTGTTTTCAAGTTATTTTCATCCCTGCTTACCTATACAATAGAGCTGTAAGATCTATAGATCCAGTTTTGAAAAAAAAATGCAAGGAGACACTGCACAGATACTAAATGACCATTCGGTTATTTAAAGAAAATATTATGATAGTCAACATCTGAGGCCAAAATTCCAAGAAGAAGAAATTCTAAAGAAGAAACCAAAATGGACAATTATAAAGATAAATCTGGAAGATTAATTTTTTTTAAATAAAATTTAGAAAAATCTGGAATTAAACGTGTAGTATTAGAAATCTACAGTTATGTACATGGGCACATTCAAGAGTTTGTAAAGGGGGAGTGTGGCAACAGCAACCAGTGCTGCAGCGGTGCCTGCACTCCAGTTCCCAGCCTCAGTCATATCCCCACCCTTTGTTTCCAGTGACTGAATGATTGCCTTAATTTTAAGTGAAAAGCTTAGGTTTTATCAACAAATATTCCAACTAATCTAAACAATGTTACGGTCAAAGGAAAGATGCTCTTTTCTTATGCCAAAATGCTACGCAGACCTTAAATCACCTGAAAAGAGAGAGGGGCACAGCACAGACCCCATTATACCCCAAGCCCACTGCAACTCCTACTGATGCGGCAGACGCCGCCACCTACCAGTTTCAAGTACCTCCTTTTCTTTAAACATTCATTTATTTGTTCTTCAGTTTAATTTTCCAGCCCCATCTCCAACTCACCCGAGTGCTTCTATTAAAAAAAAAAAAATTTCCACTTTTAAGATTGTGGTACCCCAATTGTCCCTCTTCTCCAGACTAGTCTCCCTTCATGGCACCTCACCAACCCAACCATGCTCTTTGTCCATTGTTTTACCGTCCCCACCTTCTTTACCTCCTCTACCTCACTGTTCTTCAAAGGAATATAAGGGATTTGGGGCCATCAAGTCCGAACCTCAACTATGCTTCAACCACCCCCATAATCATCCTTTAGAACTCCTCATAACCAAAACCATGAGCATGAGGTAATTACCAAAGCCAGTATTTTTCTTTTTCAAATTAATTAAACAAGGCATTTCTGCTTGTATGCTTTACCCTTTTTTGTACCCTACTCTTCATTATTAATCATTATAATTTTGTAATTTTGATTGTAATCATTTGGGGATGGGTCCCATCTTGCTGTTT